GGCGCGGAACTCTGGGGCGTCGAAAACGTCGCAAATACCGCGGGCGCGGAACTCTGGGGCTTCGAAAGCGTCGCAAATACCGTGGGCGCGGAACGCTGGGGCTTCGAAAACGTCGCAAATACCGTGGGCGCGGAACTCTGGGGCTTCGAAAACGTCGCAAATACCGCGGGCGCGGAACTCTGGGGCTTCGAAAACGTCGCAAATACCGTGGGCGCGGAACTCTGGGGCTTCGAAAACGTCGCAAATACCGTGGGCGCGGAACGCTGGGGCTTCGAAAACGTCGCAAATACCGTGGGCGCGGAACTCTGGGGCTTCGAAAACCTCACAAAAACCGTGGGCGCGGAACTCTGGAGCTTCGAAAACCTCGCAAATACCGTGGGCGCGGAACTCTGGGGCTTCGAAAGGGTCGCAAATACCGCGGGCGCGGAACTCTGGGGCGTCGAAAACGTCGCAAATACCGCGGGCGCGGAACTCTGGGGCTTCGAAAGCGTCGCAAATACCGTGGGCGCGGAACTCTGGGGCTTCGAAAACGTCGCAAATACCGTGGGCGCGGAACTCTGGGGCTTCGAAAACGTCGCAAATACCGTGGGCGCGGAACTCTGGGGCTTCGAAAACGTCGCAAATACCGTGGGCGCGGAACTCTGGGGCTTCGAAAACGTCGCAAATACCGTGGGCGCGGAACTCTGGGGCTTCGAAAACGTCGCAAATACCGCGGGCGCGGAACTCTGGGGCTTCGAAAACGTCGCAAATACCGTGGGCGCGGAACTCTGGGGCTTCGAAAACGTCGCAAATACCGCGGGCGCGGAACTCTGGAGCTTCGAAAACGTCGCAATAAATACCGTGGGCGCGGAACTCATGGGGCTTCGAAAACGTCGCAAATACCGTGGGCGCGGAACTCTGGGGCTTCGAAAACCTCGCAAATACCGTGGGCGCGGAACTCCGGGGCTTCGAAAACCTCGTAAAGACCGTGGGCGCGGAACTCTGGAGCTTCGAAAACGGCGCAGCAAATAGCGCGACGGCTCTCGTGTGGGCGCGCAATCATTGCGGATGACATCTTGTCCTGCGCTCATGCAGAGCTATGCTTTGATCTGTTCACAACATGGCAGCAGGCGCCTCAGGCCATGTGGGACTTTTGCATGCTGGCATGTGTACGTGGTATCACCCCATTGCCGTCATCGCGCTACCATCGCCTCAGCTATACACGGCCTCTCTACACTGCCTATTCTATTCCATCTTCTTTGCGTTTCGCGTCCTTTTCGCTGTCGACGCGACACCTGCTTCCTATCCTACTACACCACACCACGATCACCGCACTGACAACACAACCAACTCTACGTGTCAGTTGATATCTTCGCACTGATTGCTTTCGGGATAATCGGTGTCTAGTTGTCTGATTTTGGCGTGCTCGACAGCACTAGCTACTGGCGAATGCTTCTTTCCGCTCCTGATGGCTGTCGAAGAGGATATGGGCACCTGCCGTGCTCAACGCGTTCATTCAAGGCTTCTACTTCCATCTAGTGCCCACACTTGCTGCTCCGCTCTTGGCACTTTCTCTGAGCTAGTGGCGGGTGGAAATGAACACCCGCTCCAGCGCTCGAGGGTCAAACTCCTTCAGCTCCTGTGCTTCGGCAGGCTGAAAGATTGAATTTCACAACATTCAACTCATTCAATGTGTTCGATCTGGACATGGTGTTTGAGTCGACCGGCATGCTCGGGTAACTTGCGAAAGCCACCTGCAACTCTTTCATGAGAGTGGGGACGTGGACCACCACACCTCAGAGCAGCGGCAGCTGTTGCCTGAAATGCTTGTGGGAGTCAGGTCCGAACCTTGCACTGCTAAGGTGCATGCCATTTCCAATGAGATTCTTGCAAGCCTGCGCGGCAGGGCTTTCGACCGCTTCATGGGTGCCGGCTTGCGAGGCCCATGCTTGCCAGCTTGGAAAGGCGAATTCTCTCAGTTGTAGCCTTGTTGATCATTCCACAGGGCAGAAGATGAAAGGCATACCTGAAGCGTTACTTGTCAATTTTGTGAGTTGTTCAGACAGCTGCACATTGAGGTGCGTAGGAACATACAACAACGCAACAACGTTTCATGTCGCCACGATCTCTGAGAAAGCGGTGCTGCGCATCTTCCTCCGAGCTGCTTCTTCCCATCAACAAGCCTCGGCTCGGATGCACGGCTGATTTTGGAAAGCTGTATGCACAACGAAGAACTGCGCGGTGCATTCCGGTGCATGACGAAAAGTGAAAGATAGGCAAAGATGTCAAACGTGACACATTCAGACATAGTACATGAAAGCGTTATCCATTTTCCGTGACCATCTTTGCCAAAAAGGCGGGACGGCTGTGCGAACTGCCGCTGGGGCATGTGCACATATGAATACACTTCCGAGGAGCAACAAAAAAGAACCAGAAATCAAACTGTTAGAGCCAGCCTACGAAAGTTCGCGACTATTCATGCGAAGTCGGGTTTTTCAAGATGTCCTTACTTACACCATTCCAGTGCGCGTGCAAACGGGGACCGCTAAGTGATTTCTGCCACTTGCCCCGCTTGCCCCACTTGCTGTGCTCCCTTACCGAAAACCACTTTGCCCCACTTGCCCCACTTGCCCCACTTGCCCTGCCTTAACCGCTAAGTGATTTCTGCCACTTGCCCCGCTTGCCCCGCTTGCCCCACTTGCCCCACTTGCCCCACTTGCCCCACTTGCCCACTCGCCCCCCTCCTACCCCAGCCCACCCTGCAAGTGGGGCGTGGGGCAAGCGGGGCAAGCGCGGCAAGTGGGGCAAGTGGGGCAAGTGGGGCAAGTGGGGCAAGTGGGGCAAGTGGGGCAAGCGGGGCAAGTGGCAGCCAGGTTTGAGGCAGACTTGTGGCGCGGCGAGGCCAAGGGGTGGGGGGAGGGGGGGGGGGCGCTTGCCCCACTTGCCTCACGTGCCCCACTTGCCCTACTGGCCCCAGATCATTTTAGGGTGTGTCCGAGTCCAATAGCACTTGAGGTTTTACATGGCAAGGGTATGCCCTCAACGAGTCCCAGCCACAAGTCTGCCTCAATTGCAGCGAGATTTGAGGCAGACTTGTGGCTGGTTGGTTACTTTAGGGTCTGTCCGAGTCCAATAGCACTCGAGGTTCTACTTGGCTAGGGTCTGCCCCCAACCAGCCCCAGCCACAGGTCTGCCTTGAATGCAGCCCGATTTGAGGCAGACGTGTGGCTAGGTTGGTCATTTTAGGGTCATTTTAGGGTCCAACAGCACTCAAGGTTCTACTTGGCTAGGGCCTGCCCTACAACCATAAGTCTGCCTCAAACGCAGCCTGATTTGAGGCAGACTTGTGGCGCGGCGAGGCGAGGGGGGGGGGGGGCGCTTGCCTCACTTGCCTCACTTGCCCCACTTGCCCCACTTGCCCCACTTGCCCCACTTGCCCCAGTTACCCTGCTGCAGGGTAACTGGGGCAAGTGGGGGGCAAGTGGGGCAAGTGGGGCAAGTGGGGCAAGTGGGGCAACATCAATTAGCTTTTCCAAGTGGGGCAACATCAATTACCAAGTGGGGCAAGTGGGGCAAGTGGGGCAACATCAATTAGCTCTTCTGGAAAGGCAAGTGGGGCAAGTGGGGCAAGTGGGGCAACATCAATTAGCGGACCCCCTGGGCGCTCGCAATGCACCATTCCGTGCAGGGCATGATGCACCTCCAGGAATTCTCAGCACTTGCCTGCCCAATGTTTTTCGGATTTCGAAACAAGGAGGTCTTCGACAGCGCCATGGACGGGCAAGACCGGCGCCGGGCAGGAGATGTTAAAGCTTTTGACAGGTTGAGGACGCCCACGAGCTGGGCAAGCTTCGAGGAAGGTTGGAGAAGTGCTTCAGGAGAAGCAGCCACCAGCAACAGCATGGGGCGCAGTGAAACAGTGCGGCTATGCAAAGATGAGGCTCCGGATGCCAAAGTTTCTAGCGGAGACGACGGGGCAAGAGTACTCCAAGTACTTCTGTCTTGCCGGTGCCGATCACAGCGCGCGGCATCCTGATGGATGCGATGACAAAACCCATGAAAACCCCTCCGCCTACATGGCAGACTTGCAGAAGCCGCGGGAGAGCTTGGGTTGACAGGCCGCACACGCCGGAACGTGCTGTGACGGTCGCACCTTCTTGTAGCCATACCCGAATCACTTTGGAACATGAGCACTCCAGGAGTGCCAGGAGTGATGGCTTAGCCAGCACACTGGCTGATAATTGCACTGTAGATATCTGAAGATCATGCTAGCGCATGGCATCAATTTCGCAGAGGTGCAGTGTGTGGCCGGCGTTCGCTCCACCGTTGAAGCGTGCGCAAAGCTGCACATCCTGCGCCAAGATGTCCACGAGCTTGCCTTTGCCTTCATGCAAGAGTTAGAGAACGTTGGGACTTCTCATGTCAACTCAACCATCTCATGTCCATCTCGGTTCAGCCAAGAGGCCCTCATCACCCCACCTCAACAGTTGGCTGCAGTAAACGTGCTGTCCCCGCGAGTGCGAGAGACTTGGAGCATCTTGAACAGTTCTTGAACCGAGTGACTGCGCACCCAGTACGACACAAAATCTGGAGTCTTCGCCGCCAACGTTGCGCTGCAGCGCCTTGAGCTTGGAAGCCTTGCATTCCCACACAAAAAACCGTTACGGCAGAAAAAGGCACAGTACTGGCACTTTGCATTTCGCCCAAGGAGATGGCCATAGCTCTGATGGCAGACCTCACGAGGTCAACACTTTCATGATGGAAGCACAATCATGCACAAAGCGTCCAGTTCGAGAGGGAAAAGAGCTTGGGGGGCAGCTGGGGCTCCTGCTTCGGCGTTTGCTCCGACGTAGCCGTGGTTGCTAGTTCAATGTTCACGATTGAAGAATGGGGAAGGGGGGCGGGGGGGGCCAGTGCTGTGCGCTACAGCATGTCGGAGCTGCCCACGGCTATTGTCTCACGTCTGCTGAGTTGATACCGCTAGCTGGTGGTGGCTTGGTGCAACCTCATTGACTTGAGCCTTTGAGCCTTAGGCTGAGAGCCCAAGATGCAGAGCACAAAGCTCACAGAGTGTCAAGCCCTGCGGCTCCCTTCCTACACAACCCCAAGAGATGCCTGTCGAAGCCGTGCCCTGGTGGTTCCGACATAGCCTCCACCATCATGCACAATATGCACATGACCAAAGCTCATGGCAGTACTGACTAGGACAGACCTTTGGCTACATTTGCGCCCCTGCCTGGGAAGGCAAAGTTGCGCAAGGCATCAATCACCTGTGGCAGGGAGCGAGGCTGCAGCCTCCAAAAACCATGGTTCCAACCATGCGGGACTCATGACGCGCTGACAAGATCGTGCTTTGCTCACTGCGCAGGCCACGCTGATCGATGCTCATAATCATTCTGTATCTACACAATATGTACACACTCAAAAAGAGTACTGCGGGCTACGCACTAATCTGCCTATGAGCAGAGTTGCATGCAGAATGCTCTCTTACTGGTGCCGCTGATGTTGGCCGGCGGCTTCAGCGGACGACTTAAAGCAGCAGTCCTGCAAAGACCGCAAGAGCCAGGCACAGACAAGCGGACCGGATTGCAGACAGAACTTCCTTCTTTTTAACCGATGGCGGGCAGCCCCTTCTTCAGGACCAAAACGTAAAGGTTTGCCGAATGGCATCAAACCGGGTGATGTTCCACGTGTCTACTTGGGAACCGATAAGCCCATCACTGGTCAGCGTGTACTCGATGCTACCGGACCTTAGCAGGCTCTGGAGCAGGAGCACATTAATCTAGAGAAGCACATTCCGCGCACATTCCTTAATTATACTCATTATACTCATCTCCCAAGACCACCGCCATGGCGAGATGCGAGGCCTCCAAGGCCTACAGGCGAAAACAGGCAGGATATCAAACCACCGCTGGAAAAAAAAAAAGCTTCCCAGACGGAAGAATAAGAGTTTTGTGGGTCTCGGACAGCTTCAGCACACCGCCAGCGACGTAGTTTGCTCGTATGCCTCCCCCCTCCACGACAGAAATGTCACGCAAGTCCAGGAAGCTTTCCTTGTCTGTTGACTGTACTGTACAGAAATGCAGTTGCAATCTATTTTGATAGGGTCTGACAGACACTTCGAGTCCAAGAATCTGCTGGGTCAAAGAGCAGCGCCAGCGCTTGGCGATACTGCGCAAGGCCCGTCACCGCGTTGTTGGGATCGACAAAGCGGCAGTCATCCGCGAAGATAGCTGTTGTCAAATTTCCAGTGAGGATGTACTTACCTCAGTGCAGGCCCCGCAACAGCCCCCTGCTTAAAAACCACTTTCCCATTTCCCATAAGCCTGCCAATGCGGGAGTCCATTTTTCCGAGGGCCTGAAAGCAAATGCAGAGGGCGAACCCAAAACCCTTTGTCATTCACATTCAGGCTCAAGGACACCTTGCAGAGCTTTGCTGACAGATGCCTTTTTTTGCTCCGGGACACTCCCTTTACAGGCGACCCCCAAAGTGCATCCTGTAGTCTTTGGTGCACAACTGCGTGTATCTACATATGTGGTAGCCTATATATATATGTACTTATTTGTCATGATTCGGTTTTTCGTACACTACATAAGAATGAACAATAAGAAAAATATCTATATATATATACACATTACATACATATACATGCGTCTACTTTCTTACTTTGCTTTTTCCGACTGCCCAGCTGCCATCCCCAAGGTCCTTCTGCAGGATGCTTGCAACCTGCGAAGGTCCCAGTCCTCGCCTGGAGGTCCGAAACATGTGATACTGCGATGATGATACTGTGACTAGATTTAATTTAAAAAACTATACTGCTATAAGAGGCACCCTTCAGACCTCCCAGAAATTATTGACAACATTTTGCTTTTGGCATTTAGGGCAAAATTTAGGGGCCTTTTCTCGCCATCCTCGGGGGTGTTCTTCCACAGAAAAGTCCACTCCTTGGCTTCTGTCGGCTACTGCGCGCACGTGTCTGTGCCGAGGCCAGAATGGCCTGCGATTTGGAATGCTCTGGGTCAGGCGACCTGGTGAGCTTCAGCCCTTCCAGGCTCACTGGTGCCCAGCCGTTGCAGGCACGCCCGCACTTGGAAGTTTAAAATGTTTGTGCCCAGAAAGGGCTGGTCGCCGACTCTCCTCCTCTGTTCGACGTGGCCGTCCGCAGCCGGTAGCCGTGTGCCGCGACCATCCTCGACCCTGCCTGAAAACATGGGGGTTCGCATGATCCTCTGCTGAGGCGGCAGCCCGAGCTAGCTCTCGCCTCGCTATACCACAAACCCAGAACTGGCCCAAAGAAGAACATCCGCAAGAACACGGCGCGGCACGACCGCTTGCATCCCAGGGGCAAAAGGTCTCTGCGCGACAGGCCGATCTTCGGCACACGCGGCAGAGCTGAGCATCAGACTCGCCAGGCCACCAAGTCCTACAGAGCAGAACGAGCTTCAAGTGCTGGTCTAGCATCCACTAGACTAAGCTCGAAGTCAGGTATGGTCCTGGCCGGCGGGATACAGATCTTGCGTTGAATCCTCCCATTTTGAAATTAGACAGCAGCACAAGCCACCCGGCTCAACTGTTAGAATGCAACACACAAGAACACTCCGTCCTGGCAATTGTGAAAAGCACGCCAGCGACGGAAAAAACACCATCAAGCTGGCACAAAGCCTGCCCCTTCGTAAACCCCATCGTGCCATGGCGCAATGGCCAGGTCCACAATGTGGCTTTGCAGTGACTCTACAAAGTAGGTTTGTCAACGCCCTAAGTGACACCATACCATAGAACCGTTTATGGCGAGTCGTTGTCGTTTTGACATGCTGGCAATGAACAACACTTCGCATGCAGGTCTTTATGATGCAGCCTGTAAATTCTTAGAACTCACTGGGCTACCGGCAGCCGCGGCCAATTTGCAGTGAACTCATTGCCAACGTGTCAATGGTGCTTGCACTGATTGAAACTGCCCTTCTCCTACTCCAACCCCGTCTTGGACACCCTAGCACGCGCTGACCCCTCACCAAGGCCGCCCAAAACGAATTCGTGCGGAAGACCTTCCCTTCCAAATGGCACGTCGCTTTGGCACTCGGCATCCCAACTCAGGTCGCTTGTAGGCGGCTATGCGCCTCGACAACTGTTGCAGCTGTCACCAGCTGTGAGAACATCTCAAGAACTCATCACCACATAATCTGCACACACACACACACACAGAGCGCAACTGTACATCTGCACACATGTTTTCCGCTATATCCGTTACGATTATCTGCCCACCTCCATCACCAGACCTACAAGAGCACTGTCAACAGCCAAGTGGCCGAAGAGCCGCTCGGCAGCCCGGACCGCTGCCCGACTGCGGCAGCGTGGGCCGCGGTGCCAGGCGACCACGTTGTAGTTCCGAGATACCTCCGCTGTTTTGCACAAGCACAAAGCACTTGTGATGGCAAGTTTTCTTGGAACGTCAAGCTCAAGGCAAGGAAGAGTTGTAAAAAACTACCGCAGATCGGCCGCCTCGTCCTCAGATCTACCAATTCGAGCCTTCAAGCCGTGGCGTTCGAAGTTTAACAAGGGACGTTGTGAAAAGCAGGGTCTTTGTGCTAGTCTGCTAGTCGGATGAAGGTTGAGTCGGTTACAAGTGTCGGGAGCGGGCGGAGGGTGTGTTGGGAACAGGGGCGCGTGTTGGGAACTGGGCAGGCGTGAGTCAGGAACGCAGGGGGGGTGAGTCGGGAACAGGGCCCATGTGTACAGCACGCCCGGGGGTTGAGTTGGGAAAGGCTGCCCCCCAGAATTGGGTTTCGGAGTGATGACCCTACTCTGCAGGTTTGTTTTAAGTCCTCTTTCGACGACTTGGAGTTGGGTCCACAGTCCTCTTTTCAGCTTCCAAAGGGGGGACTTTACGAGGCGAACACATCCGACGTGTCATGAACCCGCACACCAACACGCCGAATTGGTGTGCGGGTTCATGACACGTCGGATGTGCTCCCCTCGTAAAGTCTGCCCTTTGGAAGCTGAAAAGAAACGGTAGATCCAACTCCAAGTCGTCGAAAGAGGCCTTAAAACAAACCTGCGGAGTACGTAGGGTCATCACTCGAAACCCAATTCTGGGGGGCAGCCGTTCCCAACTCAACCGGGGCGTGCTGTACACATGAACCCTGTTCCCGACTCACCCCCCCTGGGTTCCCGACTCACGCCTGCCCTGTTCCCAACACGCACCCCCCCTGTTCTCAACACGCGTGTGCCCAACACACCCCAGTTGCAACCAACACGACTAACATTCTCTGCTAGTCGGGTGACTACACCGCCATAATTCAATTTGTTTATGCGTTTTTTGGCCTGCGGGTGGCCTTCATAGGACCCTCGCAACGACTGGGTCGAGGCCCGAGGCGCAACAGATACTCTGCAGCTACGAAGATTAATTCACAAACAGCAAGCTGCCTGCATCTCCTGTATCGAAATGGTCTCAGCAACTCCCAACTGCACGGCCCTCGCCGTGTAGTTGCCTTCAGCTGGGACTGCGGTGCAAAAAAGGAAACGATGCCCTGAGCGCCATGTGCTCCTTCCATTTCCGTCAGATGCCCCGTAAGGTCCCGTGCTGAACAGTTGCCTCAGGGATGTCAGCGTGGCATCCATGGCCTCCTTTGAAGCACAGCTTTTGGGGGTCGAATAAAACAAGCGATTTCGCCAAGAGCCCAGGCCTTGCCCATGTACCCTTCTCGGAGGATGCGCATCGCGCTCGTGAGCACGAACACGAGGCAGATGCGGCCCTGGGTCTGATAAGGATTTGGGGTGCACCTATGAGCACTCGGAGCGCAGAAACACTGGAGTTTAAAAGTAATGTAAGTATGCACCCCAAGGCTTGCCAAGGCACCATGGACAGGGCACGGTGCGCACCAGTGAGGACGTCGAGCTCATAGCCTGTTATAGTGAGACAATGTCTGCAGCACCATGAGGCAAGCACCCGACAAAGTGGCCTTGAGCATGAATCTTCAGAACGTCCAGGACCTCTGCAAGCTCCCCTTCACTCCTTCTCTCCCCATCAAGGCCCATAGCACAGCGACGCAATCTGATTTGCTGTACCTGTACTACGTACTGCAGCCGTAAATTACTGTCAAGGCCGCAGGAAGTAGACAATGTCGCCGATCAAATTGGTGGCACAACTTAATGTTCGCAAACAAGGTGCTTTAGTGCTTTCTTTGCGGCAAGAACCATGAACCCCACCCACGCAGCTCAAAAAACAGCTGTGCTGCAGGCCCGCAGTACTCTGCAAGTACAGTATTTCCTTCT